ATACCGATACGATACAATAATTATATCAGTTATGCAATTATATCAGTAAAAACCGGCCAAAACCGGTAAAAACTGGTCATACCGGTCGGTTTTCAATTGAATCGTACCGGTAATACAGATCGATTTTTATTTAAAATTATTTTTTAATGAAAATAAAAATAATTATTGTTTTTTTATTGATTTTTCAATATTAATGTTATATATTATATATGTATATCTAACTTTACCGATATGCAATTTAATTAGTGAACCACATGTTAAACCGCTACACCACTGTATCAGTACTCATATTAGTTTGATGACCGATACGGTATTAATAACGCTGCTAAATTATATATAATAATTATAAAATATTTTTAATGTATATATATTTGCATATGATAATATTTAAGGATTTAAGAGCATCTCCATCCATGGATTCTTATGACATTTTTATTGAAATAAGAATGTTCTTCCATCATTTATATTGTAGAAAATATTCTTATGCTTATTCTTATTGGAAGATTAGGATCCAACATGAAAAAATGAAGATAGAGGAATTATGTGGTAGGTTGTGAGATAAGCTCTCAGGTCCAAGTAAGAATAAAAATATTGTTTTTGGTATAATCAAAGATATCACTCCACCTTATGGTAAGGAAATAATCTATTTTGAAGTGTGTAACTATCTTTTTCAACAATTGTCATTCCATAGAATAAAATCATTGACTTTAATGTCTACATGAGGATTTAGCGGTACCTTGTATTACTAGACCAACATCTTATTGTTAATAAGAATAATGTTTGCTATTATAGGTAAAATGTAGATCTTATTATTAATTTATGAGGATTAAATTATAAAATATTGTGTGAGATTTAAATAAAAATGTAGTTGATATTCTCAGACGGAGATGCTATGACATATATGTACTCAAGTGCATAAATAAAAAACTATATTTTAGTGTGTTTCATATATATTATATTTTTAGCTTTAGTTTATAAATCGTAAGATTATAAATTGTGTGATTATATGATTTGGTATCTTAATCAAAAATTGAATATTACCTAATTGGTTAAGGCAAAAAGTTTAGGTTTTTAGAGTAAATTACAAAAAATGAAGTTATTTATTTACATTATGTTTAGTTTTGTTGTTTTTATTTATTTTTAAAGTATATATATTTTTTAATACATATCATCATATATATTTTCACTATATTTTTTAAATTTTTGATATCTCATGACAAAAGGCTAAAAATATTAAAATAAAAAATAAATATGAAAATCAATATCAATATTTAAAAACAAAATGACACGCAAATAAATAAAAGTTATTGAATCTGAATTAGTCAATCACAAAATAAATAGTGCACAAATAATAAAATAAGCGATCAATTGAGATGTGAATCTAAAACGATAAAAGACACCATAAAAGAGATGTTATTTATTTTTTTTTTTTTTATAATAAATGATGAGTTTATAATATAATGGGTTGCCAAACATACTTGAGCAGTAACTTCAAGCTTATTTCTTTAAAAATAAGTAAAAGTTACAAATTTTCTTCTACACCAAGTAAACAAAAATTATCGAGTTAAATAACTTGTAGAGTTTTAAACGAATGTCAAGTTAATTCATTTAACGGTTAGTTCCAATGATCATAAGTACACAGTTCAGGAAATTATTAAATAATATAATATTTTTGATATAATTAATTTAATTATAATAATTCTATTTATATTAGCATTAGAAATGTATTAACTAAAAATAGAGAATTAATGGGTTATTAACAAGGATTGATAAATAAGGAAAATATTAAAAATAGAACATAAACATATATTACATTTCTAAAACATCAAAATATTAATAAAAAAATTAAAAATTAATATATAAAGAGTAAGAGTGTGAAGGGAGAAAATGCACGTGGGTCCCATCAATAGTAAACTCGGGGTACTGCAAGTTTCATGTTTTGGGCTTCTGCAATAGAAAAAATTATAATAAGCCCAACTTCATCTTTGAAAAATTTTATTTGTCTTAATTTGATCTTCTTTTCAAAATAAAGTGATCAAATATACGCTAATTTGGTTCCTGCAAATATAAAACTATTGAATATTCTATAAATATTTCTTCAATAAGACAGATTGAGTAATCGAAAATTTCACTTCCATATGTGGTTTAAATTTTTAGTGATCAAATTATTCCTACAAAAAAAACGGAAAGACAACAATGTTTCACATAAAAACTGTTAGATTTTTTTTTTTACTTAGGGGCAAATTATTTCTCATAGGAACCTTCAAAGACTCTGTAGTGAATTATTTTCTTTTAAAAAAAAATTAGTCTGAAACTTTTTATAGAACCAAATTGGGTATTTACTAGACAATGTCAAGAATTAGTGATGGAAGAAAGAACAAGTTCGGAAGGTAATGATAATAAAATTATTGTTATTTTGTTACAATGTTAAAAAAAATTGAACCTAGATGCCAACAAAGGTTATTGTAGGTTTTGTTGGAAAAGATTTAATAATCTTTTAGTAAATATATAAGAATTTTCTAATATATCAATTTTTGCATAACCTTTTACTTTCTTCCAACTAAAGATGGAAATGACTCAGATTTAAAACTTGGTAGGAGTGAAATTCGTAAATTATTCGATTCGATTTATCAACTTAAATTGATTTAATTAACAATAGTTAATGAATTATTTAGTTGAACTCACTAGCTCCTTTGGTTTAGATTGTAAGCTCAAAAAATGATTATATATTTAATATATAAAATTTAAATATTTCCTCCATACATATGCATACATACATGTAAGCATGCATACATACATACTTCTACCTTCAAATATATACCTATACCTACATATACAAACGCATATATACATAGCTATATATATATAAATATAAAGTGACGTGAGAACAATTGTTATTGTAAGAAATGAAAACATTGAATTTGATTTGAATGATCAAAATTAAAACATAAATGCACACGACTTTTTTAAAGTGGTCATGTGATTATTAAATAACTATTAATCCTAATGATTAATGTATGGTTATATAACTCAAATTTATTGTTCTTACGATTTTTATATAGAACTGTTTTCACTTGAGTCATTTCCTATATTTAAATGACAGAAAGTGACTCAATAAGAACAATTATTATTGTGGGAAATGATAACAATTAATATAAACCATTGAATTTGATTTAAATAGTCACACATAAAAGATAAATACACATGGTTCTTTAAGTGTGAAAACAATAAATATGGACTATACAACCATTTATGGATGTTTAGGATTAAAAAAAAAATCTTAAAAAATCATGTGGTTTTACTTTTTAATATTAACTATTTGGATAAGATTCTATAGTTTATATTAATTGTTTTCATTTTTCGCAATAATAAATATTTTCACTTAGAGTCACAATTCATATATATAAATATCAGAGTAAATTACATTCACACCCCCTGAGTTTTAGTGAAATTACACAAATCACCCCTCACTTTTTTGTCCTTACACGAACCACCCCTAATTTTGTATATATGTTACATTGACTACCCATGCATGATATAAAAATGTAATATTTTAAACAAAATATGTATGATGTGTGTAATTAATTAAACAAAATATTATATATTGTGTAGACAAATTCAAATAATATATGAGTCAATGTTTCTGACTCGTTATAAAATAGTATAAGAGTTATTTAAACATTATTTGAAATTATTAATATATTTTTTAATGACACAAAAATAATAAAGAAACACTCGTTTTTGTGCTATTTGAAGTGTTACACAATATATAATATTTTGTTTAACTTAATTACATTCATCACACGTTTTTTCTTTAAAATATTACACTTTTATAACATACAGGGGGTAGTCAGTGTAATGTATGTATAAATCTAGGGGTGATTTGTGTAGGAGGGAAGAGTGATTGGTGTAAGGACAAAGAATAGATGAATGATTTGTGTAATTTCATTAAAACTCAGGGGTGTGAATGTAATTTACTCTAAATATAACAATTGAGTCACTCAATCTCTTTATTTATTTATATATATATATATAGATATATAGGAAATGTGAAAACAATTGTTATCGTGAGAAATGAGAACAATGGTGAAAATTAAAAAAATATTGTACATGACTTTTTTTAAAGTGATTTTGTGATCATTAGTGTAGTTGCATGACTTAAATTTATTATTATAACAATGTACATATGAGAGTCATTCTCAATTAATTTATATATGAAATTGACATAAATGAGAATTGTTTTCATATAAAAATGTGAAAATAATAAATCTGAACCTCAGAACCATACATGAATAATAAGATTAAAAGTTAATTATTAATCATATGAAAGTCATGTGTAAATCTTTTAATCTTGACAATTCAAATAAGATCTAATAATCTTATATTAACTGTTATAGTTTCTCGCAATAACAACCTATGTATATAAGACTAAGTTATATAAGAAGTGACTCGAGTGAGAATATTTGTTTTTGTGAGAATTATGAATAATTGATATTGATCATTAATTTTTATTTGATCGGTCAATACTAAAAAATATATGCACATGATTTTTTTTAATATTATCGAATTTATTATTCTCACAATAATCGTTTTTACTTGAAATACTTCCTATCTATCTATATATGTGGAAGGTTATTGCAACTTAGCAACATTAGTTTTTGTTTTAGATGGTTGTACAACAACATGCATTATTATGACCACCCAGGCACCCGCTTACACTGATCAATAGTCTTGTTGCATGTTTTCCAATATTTTACCAGAATTAACCAATTTCACTTCAGTAGCTGGTTTTGGGATGTCTATTTTACCTATATATACGAGAAATAGTAAAACATAACGATAGAATAGTAGAGGGAAGGTAGGAGGAAAACACAATAGGTAATATAAATGATATTCTAGATGAAAGCATGTGATAAATTTGTTATACCATATCCCAAATATGATGTTAAAAAAACCAAAAAGGGGCACTCCAATAATCAGGGAAAGAATGATGTTTGGGTGATTAGGGCTAGTAGCCTCTTCCCTTAAAACAAATGTTTACCTTTTTGTTTACTTCAAAAAGTTGCTAAAGCACCCTGAATATATTAGATAAGAACGAAGTTTATAAAAGAAAACAAATCAAACTACAAATACTTGAACCTATAGTAAAGAAGGCCTTTTTTCTAAAAATTCTAGCTCTAGTAACTACTGTTTTTAAACCAAAACAAATAACAGAAGCAAATGTAGCATTTACACATTCAATGGCAACATTAACAACCATATTTATCATTATGCAGATACCAAAATGTTGAGCTTAGTTCAAAGCATCCATCCACGTATAAATCCATTCACTTGTTGAGTTTGAGTTGTTGCATTTAACTGATTGCTTTCCAAAGATTGGAAGAAGCCTTGAAAGTGAGCATTCTATGTATCATATTGCATACTTTGTTCACCTTCATCCCATTGTCTGTATTGGTTTCTTGAATTGATTTCTTCCAGCTTCATGGCCAAACCTCTATTTGTTTCTACCAGCAATTGTTCCTTATTTTGAAGATCAGGTAACTAGTCCAACATTTCAAACAAAACCAGCCACCAAGCAACTACTGAGCCAAGCAACAAAACTTGACCGAAGGAGGTAAGCCAAATGTTGCATCTGCTGCATTAATGCTACTGTACCAGATACTCACTCCAAGCCAATCTTCACAGCATTGCTTGCACCGATGCCACTGCACTAGAAGCTAACTTCAGGCTTAACACTACAAGATTCCTCTGACAGGTTTCTCTACTTCATGAAGAAATGCAAGTCCCTTTGCAGCAGCAAATGCAAACTTCATTCACCATGGCAATGCTTTGGTGAACAAATTGATTTCCACACTTCCCCGAGCAGAAACTCATATATTAGCACTGTGTGTTCCTCTTCACTGCAGTGGACCATCCACAGCACAGATGAGACAAACCTGAAAATCTCGCTTGAACGAGAGTTTTTCGCTCAAGCAAGATGAAAACAGTGACAACAATTACAAATTGCGAAAACGATAATTAGGCAAACCAAGCCTATTTCTATGGTACTCATTGGTAAGAAGAACACCAACACCTCTATCAAGAAGTGAAAGCAGAAACTCACATCATCTTCGTCTCTCAAAAGGATTCTGAGTAGAAGAGGTGGGTCAACTTCTTTTTCAAGGAGGAGCATGAGTAATTAGGAAATCTCTGCACCTGATTTGTTGCCAACCCCTGCAGCTTCTCCTCCAACTAAAGACCATGTCCACGAAATAATAAGAAAAAATTCAGATCAGAAAAGTGAAAAAATCCCTTCAGTGTCTCTATCAAGCAATCTCAGTCGTAGGGCCACAACACCTATCATATTTTCACAGACAACAGCAAGAAGGAAACCTCCTGAGGTTGAGAAAAAACTTTTTTGCTCACTTGAGGACTTGTGCTTTGGATGCACTAAAAATATTAAAGTTACCAGAGATGTTATCAAATATCCAGGGTATATATGCATGTTTATATCACGTGAACTTCTTATATTGTTGTATTTAGGCATTCACAATGTGTTAGGTATTATTATATATGGAAAGAAAACATGATCACTTAATTGACATGGGATATTCCTTAACTTTGCAACATGGTAATTCTTCAAGAGGAGGAGATTTTACAGATTGAGATAATCTTACATTTTCAATTACTGGTTTGTTTGAATCATTGGCAGTTCATGTAGAGCAGATCCTTCTAGTCGTGTATGATCGAACCAAGAGATGGTACATTCTTGCTCTTTGTTACAATGCAGCAGGACAAAATGAAGCAGCCTTGAACCTTTTGAGGAATTGCAGGTCTCTGTTTAAATTGCAGCATTATGCTTCGTTTTGTTTCGAATATCATTTTCATAGAAGTCTACACAAAAATTTAAGATGCAAAATTCAAGAACTGATCCAAGTGGAAGACCAATGTGTAGGCCAGTACTGAGGGGTCAAGGACTCTTGCCACCTAGCCGCAGAATTTTAGTAAGTACAAAGTAGTAGATAAAACTATGCTCAGTAATTACATGAGGTTCAAACATTTTGTCGAACACCTTGTATGCATATCATAAATATATAAACCAATGCAAGTTAGCAGCATGTTTAAGAGTAGATACAAATAAAATACAACGAAATGAGAAATATCAGTAGGTTATCATCATCAGTAATAGACAAAAGGGAATAATATGCTTTTAAAAAGAATTTATACAAAAGAGAAAGATTACCCGGAGTAATTGGGTCAAAATGACGATTGTGGAGGAACAATGTTATTTATGGGAATGGGGTTATGATTTTGTCCAACGGGAACTGTTACGAAGGGAAATTTGAGAACGGTGTTGCGAAAGAACAAGGAATTTTTACTAGGCTTGATGGAAGCTATTATGTTGGGATTTGGAATAAGGATTTGAAGATTCAGAATTTGAATGAGAATGATAAGTTATTGGATTTGAATGAGATTTATATTTGGGAATGGAAAGTGAAACTGGTGATATAATGTGCAATTGAAACCATTTCGGATCATAAAGAGATTAATCACTGATAGAACAATCCAATTTGTTTTTCTAATGAGGTGAACAAACCATAGGGTAATAGAGAAGTTAGGGTTTGTAGTGATTACTCAACAATGGAGGCAATGGAAAATGGTTTAGATGGTGGAGAGTATGTTACCACCGTGTAGAAATAGAAAAGGGTTGGTGAATATCCTTAGATGAAATAGAGAATGGTTTTAGAGCCATATATAAAATGCAGATAAAAAATTATAGAAAATAAAACGTTGTCTAATGTACTCTATTACAATGGTATTAGAACCGTACTATATAAATATAAAAAATCAATTACTATTGACAACACTATAAAAAACTGTGACCTAATGTAGTTTTTGGCCATGGTTTTAAAACTGTAGGCAATGGAGACGTTGTTATAGACAAAAAATGTTGTAATGAATATCTCTTTGTTGCATTTATACTTTTTATAAATGTTTTTTAATCAAATTGAGAAGTGGAGGAACATTCACAATTAATATCATCTATTTCATTTCTATTTTGACTGAGAACCAATCACAATCATTACTATTATCTTTGACATCTTTTGGACTAGGGAGAAATGTCTGGTTTGTTTCTTTTCTTTCAACCTCAGTTAATTTAAATTAAACCAATCTATTAGTTATTTTTTTGGGTCTATAGCTAGTATTCTCTATTTTCCTATTGCATATACGGATACATAGAAGTAAGATAAACTTTTGTTAAACACCGTAATAAAATATATATTATTTTGATGTAATAATTAAATGTTTAATAAAATGAGTTTATAATATAAATTAGTTCATATAATTAGCGAGTGAACAATTTTAAAACAAGCATACATGATGCCTATTTCGTCTCTAATCCATATTGACTCTCAAACCGATGCGTATAGTTGAATGACCATATTTTATAAATTGAGCATATAGAGAGCTTTCTGCATATTGTTGTATAAATTTGGTGGCAACTCCAAATTATTGGAAAGAATATGAAATTTCCTTTACCTTTCTATGTCATGTAACCAATACATATTAAAAAATCGGGTCACCATAACACAAACAATATGTTAATTAAATCAAATACATATGATGTATTTATTTAACTTATTAATTTTGTAGTATATGATAACTATAAATCACAACTCATACACTTCATGCTGTTCTATATGGGTATGATGCTTTAAATATTAAAAACATCGGGATAAATCAACTTACTTCAAGAGTAAGTGAAAAAAACCTACTACACATTATGATCATTCATTCTTGGAAAATACAATAGTTTGAATTGATGAGTATATCTTAACTATTGGATTTTCCAAAATTGAATGGCTAAGATGTGAAGTAAATTTTTTCCACTTACTTTTGAAGTAAGTAGATCTCTCCCCTAAAAACATTTATAACATATTTTTATTCTTTTCTTTTTATTACACCTACTTCCAGAAATAAGGAATATTTATTTCTTAAAAAATATGTTCATCCTGTTTTATTATAAAAACAAAAATAGTAAAACTTTTCAGACGTGCCATCTATTATACTATAAGAAAAAAAGGTTCTCCATTATTAGTTTTGGACACATGTCATATTCTCATGCAAAGTTTTTTCACTCAAAAACTCTCATCAACTACTATGCATAGTCTCATATTGTATCATTACCATTTACATTCATATCATACATCAAACCATCAACTACCATGCATAGTCCAACATTGTATCATTACCATCTACATTCATATCATACATTAAAATGACACATGCATGTCACTTCTCATATCATACATCAAAATGACACATGCATGTCACATTTATTAATCCTTCATTTTTTCTACCAAACACTTAATCATATTCACATATTCTCATATTCATTTTCCATCCAAAAATATTTCTTCATTTTCACTAAATCAATTATTATATTTCTTCATTTTCCCTAAAATCATATTCTGATTAGCAATTCTATTATACTATTATGCACATTCATTATACTATTCTTATATTAATTTATATTAAAGATATATGAGTTTAAGGAAACAAAAATAATTCTTATCATATTATGCGGTTTGATTATGTAAAAACAAAAATAATTCTTTAAATTCTCATTCACATTATCCCGAAAATGATGAACTCTTTGTAATAAAAATCACAAAGTCAGAATAATGAAAAGCTTTGAATGAGAAATGAATACAATTAAAGTCATATTATACTATTATGCACATTCATTATAATATTCTCATATTAATTTATATTAAAGATATATGAGTTTAGGGAAATAAAAATAATTATTATCATATTATGTTGTTTGATTATGTAAAAACAAAAATAATTCTTTAAATTCTCATCCACATTATCACGAAAATGATGAACTATCTGTAACAAAAATCACAAAGTCAGAATAATGAAAAACTTTGAATGAGAAATGAAGAAAATTAAAGTATGATATAATATAATGTTACCTAAGAAGAAGAAAATAATAATGAGATTGTAAGATTATCTTATTATGCACATATACAATTATCATTACCTACAAGAAATTGCAGTTTGATTATGTAAAAACAAATATAATTCTTTAAATTCTCATCCACATTATTCCGAAAATGATGAACTTTCTATAACAAAAATAACAAAGTCAGAATATTAAAAAACTTAGAATGAGAAATGAAGAAAATTAAAGTATGATGTAATGTTACCTAAGAAGAAGAAAAATAATCATGAGATTGTAAGCAAAAAGTGTTAGTAATAATTGTAAAATATTGGTGTTATGATGTGGTGTGAAATCAATTTTATCAATATCTCATATTCTGCTTAGCAATCATATTATCTTATTATTATGCACATTTCTTATATATTAATTAATATTAATCACCATGTACATATGTTTAAAATCAACATTCATCATCATTACCATTCTGGAATATTCATGAATAATTCAATTAGAATGAATATAAATATTATACTTAATGATCATTCATGATTTTATAAAAAAATCATTATACACATTTATTCTTATATTCTTTTTCCC